CAGTGAGGTCAAGATTTCATAGTTTGATAAGAGCGCATTATCAGATAATCACAAAAGAGATTGCAGTTGCTTCTCTCTCCCCACCCCATTCAGCTGCATGCTGCATTCTCCTCTCTCCTCTTATAAGGATAGGGGAGGGGGCAGGTCCAGACACAATTGCCTGTGGTATTGAAGTGCATGTGTTCTTTATGGCCTATAAGCCATGCTGTAGACATGCCTGTGTAAGAACAAGGGCAAAAAATCTCAAACTAATAACAGGCAGACCTTTTTATTTCCACATTATCCCTTGCCTTTGCTTTCTGTGAGACTGAAAGTAACCTTTAGTTACATTCTTACTGTGAATTTATTCATAGATTCATAGACGTTAGGGTCGGAAGGGACCTCAATAGATCATCGAGTCCGACCCCCTGCATACTCTAACTGTGAAGAAGTTCTTCCTAATGTCCAATCTAAATCTGCTGTCTGCTAGCTTGTGGCCATTATTTCTTGTAACCCCCGGGGGCACCTTGGTGAATAAATACTCACCAATTCCCTTCTGTGCCCCCGTGATGAACTTATAGGCAGCCACAAGGTCGCCTCTCAACCTTCTCTTGCGGAGGCTGAATAGATCCAGTTTCTCTAGTCTCTCCTCGTAGGGCTTGGTCTGTAGGCCCTTAACCGTACGAGTGGCCCTTCTCTGGACCCTCTCCAGGTTATCCGCATCCCTCTTGAAGTGCGGCGCCCAGAATTGCACGCAGTACTCCAACTGCGGTCTGACCAGCGCCCGATAGAGGGGAAGTATCACCTCCTTGGACCTATTCGACATGCATCTGCTGATGCACGATAAAGTGCCATTGGCTTTTTTGATGGCTTCGTCACACTGCCGACTCATGTTCATCTTGGAGTCCACTAGGACTCCAAGATCCCTTTCCACTTCCGTGCCACCTAGCAGGTCATTCCCTAGGCTGTAGGTGTGCTGGACATTTTTCCTCCCTAGGTGCAGCACTTTGCATTTCTCCTTGTTGAACTGCATTCTGTTGTTTTCTGCCCACTTGTCCAACCTGTCCAGATCTGCTTGCAGCTGTTCCCTGCCCTCCGGCGTGTCCACATCTCCCCATAGCTTTGTGTCATCTGCAAACTTGGACACAGTACGTTTCACTCCCTCGTCCAAGTCACTGATGAAGAAGATATTATATTCTTCTAATATGAGTTCATTTATAATTTCCCTTTGCTATACAAGATCATTCAAATATTTACAGCATATAGAATTTCCTAGAGAAAAAATTGGAACCTAAAAATAAAAGCAAACATGCAGATGCGAGTAAAAAGAGAAATAGTTGAAATGACAGATTCACAAAAGTATTTAGGATCATAAGATCTTAGGGGTCAAAGGAAAGCAGGGCTGAAAGGGTCATCTCGTCCAGCTTTCTTTTGCAGGTGGGAGTATCCCTGACTAAACCATCCTAGCCAACTGTATCTAAGCCTCTCTTGAAAGTTTCCAGGGATGAAGATTCCACACCTATTTTAGGTAGCCTGCTCCAGTGTTTGGACGCCCTCATAATCAGAAAGGTTTTCCTAATCTCCAAGATAAATTTTCTTTGCTGCACCTTGAGTCCATTGCTTCTAATCCTGTCCCCTAATGCCACAGAGAAAAGCCCATCACCATCTTCTAATTGCCCTTCAGGTATTTGAAGGTGGTTATCAAATCCCTTTCCCCCCAACCCTTCCATCTTCTCTTCTTTAGATAAAATAATCCTAGTTCTTTTAGCCTATCCTCTTCAGTATTGCCTAGTAATCAGTTTGGTTGCTCTGCACTGAAATCTTTCCAAACTGTCCATATCCATCTTGAATTGTGAGGTCCAAAACTGGACAAAGCATTCCAGATGAGGTCTCACCAGTGCTGAACAGAGTGGAAAATTCACTTCCCTTGATTTCAAAGCGACACTTCTGTTATTACAACCCAGTATGCTTTTGCTTTTTTTGGCTCATATTCATCTTGTGGTCTTCTATAACCTCCAAGTCCTTCTTTGCAGTACTGCAGCCTTTCTCCATTAAATTATTCCATTCCAAATGCAGGACTTTGCATTTGACCTTGCTGAATTTTATCTGATTGATTGCAGATTGATTGATTCCATTTTTCCAGTCTAGGTTCCTAAAAAATACAAATAGCTGCTAGATAGGAGTTTCAAAAACTTCTGGACAAATTAAAATGCTAAATACACTTATAAATCAACCCTAAGTGTTCTGTGTCAGGTAGGTTAAAAGTCACCTTGATTTAAGATTTTTCTTAATTTTTAAAGGCAGTTGATAAGCCACTTAAATATAGTTCTACAACCCTGGAGATGGATTGTTTAAGCTGTTCTTGTGCAGGAGGAAGATTTTGAATACAAACAGGGCACGAAAAGTAGAAACATGAATGGGTAAAACAAATATTTTCATTCTTTATCAAAGTGTACAGGAAGTCGTTGTTGTTACTTTATTGCCTACCTTCTTCTCCAGTTGGCTGCCTTACTGTAGTCCTATCCTAGTCTCTAAAAGAGAAAGCATCTACTTATCCCCAATGTCTTTAAAAGCTGTACTAAAACTCAGCATAACTTTTTAGCAAATTGTCTGTAGAAAATCCATGTGTCCTTCATTGGAGATAGGAATTGTGAGTTATGTTTTTTGTATGGACGTTTTGTATTATGCATGATTAAAAGTTGGATGCATCCAGGCAAATTCTGGGAGATTTTGCTAAAGCCTTGTATGCATCTTTTTTAGTACATAAGGTTTTGTGCAGGACCTTTTCACTAGGGTGAATTTTGCCTATCAAGTCGCTTATATAAGTGTAGTTTTTTTTTCACTGATTTGGTGCTGTGCATTTAAATGTTTTGATTTTTTGTTCTATTGGCTATTTTTATTTTTTGTGATGAATATGGGGTGCTGCAATCAGCAGCCCATATATTTTCTTCATTGTGGTGTGAGAATATTTGCAGTTGTATCTAATAATCACATTAGTAAAGAAACTGCCATACTAAATCTGATGGATAGTCCATCTGGAGCATCCTGCCTCCCTCACTGCTCCAAAATGGGGCCCCTTACCCATTTCCCTGGACATCTCCTGGCAGCCATAAAGCACCTTGCCAGTTGACAAATGCAGAGAAAAGAAGGCCCTCATACTTGTTCCCCTAATGGATGCTCTTGAGTAAAATGATGATCACATTGAAGTTGTTGGGAATTTTTGCCATTGACTTCAGTGGAGTCAGGGTTTTATCTTTGCTGTCCGGAATCATAGAATCATAAAAACGTAGAGGTTATCTAGTCCACCTCCCTGCCCGAGGCAGGATTATCTCCATCCAAACTATCCTGTACAAATCTATCGTCTAAACTGCAGTCAATCTGAACACAACCCTAACACATAACGCCCTAACCTGCCACAGGTAAAGCAGGGGGAACCATGATAAGGGCAACTTTTCTCTGTCAGATTGCACCACAGAAACAGTTTGCCAAAACCAAACCAACAATGGGTGAGAGAGACTGAATCCTTAACTGTGCACTTGGATGGTAGAAGTTTGGGTGCTTTTGAGTACTACCCCTGTTAGTAGAGTAAAACCTGAAAATGCCTTTGAACAGGGCGAGTGAAACAGCCCGTTGTGTATATGGGCTCTTCTGAGGACGTGAAACGTCTCAGCTTGAAATAGTTCTGGAAGCCCTTGGCTTCAAAAGCCATCTGGAACGTGACATAACATAAACTGTAGCCCAGCAGGAACTGAACCAATGCCAAATTAATTAGTTACGATTTTAAAATGTCATGGCACTCTGCTGGCCAAGAATCAATTTAAGTTACATGCCCAGAGGTAACAACCCCCACCCCCTG